ATAGTGCGCCGCTTGGGAAGCGCGGCGGCGCTCCCGTCCGAGGGTTCGGATCCCACATACAGACCGGCTCCCGCTCACTGGCTGAGCGAGGCGCGGGAGCAACGCCGAGGCTTGCGATCCCGTTGCCGGTCCCCGGTCCGGTGCGGGGGCAACACTGAGGGTTGCGATCCGTTGCCGGACACGGAAAAAAGACAAAAGACAAAAAAAGAAAAAAAGAAATATCTTCTTCTAGAGGAAAAGTAGTGTGCTGTATAAATTTAAAAAAAAGATTTATTTTCTTTCGGTAATTATTTTATAAAAAAAATTTTATTGCAACTGTGAGATTATCAAATGTAGCGTTTGGATGAGTTTTCCTTTATTCCCATTTAGTCACATATACACTTCCAGACAGTTCAGCTGTTAACTTTGCTCACAGATTTTTTCTGTGTGTTCATTCTAATTATCAAGATTAAATATAGAAGTTGACCAATCTCATACATCTTTTTAAGTAAAAATTAAGCTCTACAACCTACGAGCATTTTGCAACACAGAATCTCATACCTCCCATAAAACGACATGATCTGCCTATGACTGATAGGGGTTTGCTGACAGAAGACTAGTAAACCAAACTAGCTGTTACAACACACCTGTAACAAAGGTAAGTGTCAGGAACATCATCATTTTAACATGAGCAGAACCAGCTATGGTGGGGCAAACATCTTATGTGGATGAAGCTTGTTTTTGCTAAACTTTGCATTTAATATCTCTTCTTTCCTGTTTTTGTGTCACCTGTCTCTTCTGTGGTACTCAAGACCTTGCATTTCACAGCCAAATAACAATCACATAACTAGAAGAAGAAAGAGGTAGAACTTTAACACAGATATGAGAGGTAGTTAAACCCATGGTCTTTCCACCACTTGAACTTGGCAAAAATTAAAGATAAGCAAGAACATGACTTGTTTGGGAAACAACTAGAGGTTGGGTCATTCACAGTCCCTCATACCACAGCACTAAGATCACCATATTCTTCAACTAGTCACAAGGCTGCCCTTCACCCAGGTCATTAGCTAATGTTTCTAAGAGTACAACTCTCCATCCTTTCAGTGCCAGCCACTAGATAAGAAAGCATATTACCTTCTGTGAGAATTGTTGAAATGTTCTGTGTTGTCTGTTTTCCATCCATACAGGAATTACTTGAAGCTAGAAAATAGAGACAGAAGAGTAAATGAAACTAATGCTATGTGATAGAGTGGGAGCCACTGTTTCTTCACAAAGTCTTATTCAACATGCTAGACAATCAGTTAATCCTAATTAAAATTAAACAAAAATCATTGCAAAATAGAAATTATATGTTATGCCATAATTAGAGTGAAAAACATGTTAATATCTTGAAAATTACATTTGTAAGCTATTAATCTATGATTTCCTACTTATGAGACACCTCATTTTGTCAACTATTTTTTACAAAACAACCCTGCCTGCACCCTTTCCACCTTCCCCAGCAGGGGGATTGGTCCAGTGTGGCCATTTTACATGAGCTGGTCTGATTATATTCCTTTCACCAGATGCCACCCCTCTAATTAAAGTTGTTTGGTCCAGTGATGGTCCTTACCTTACCCAGAAAGACAAAGTAGAACCATTTCTCAAGAATTTTGGAATCAGAACTGAGAAGAGTTTATTTATCTCTCTTCCTTCCCCATTTTTCCTACCTTGAAAGAGAAAAATGGAAAAAATGAAGCAGTAACAGAGAGAGAAACAGAGACAAGAGACCTCACCTAGTTCAACTTTCTAGTTCCACAGTTGCTGAGATGCACATGCATCCTTCCCTTGGGTTCTGTAGAGATTCTTACAATAGCAAGAGTTCTAATCTACTTCAAACTTGATTTCTGAGAAACTGCTGTACTGTAGTTTTAAAAAAAGAAGAAAGAGGTAAAATACTTTACACAATACTGACTGAGAATTTCCTCAAATTAAGTCCAGAAGCCAAAACAAAATCCAGGAAGCTGAAAGAACACCAAGCAAGACAAATGCCCAAAATACTATATGTGGGCATTCCCAACTTCATTCTCAAACTACAGAGAGCAAAGATAAAGAAAAAATCCTGAAAGAAGACAGAGAGGAAAAGCATGTTACCTACAGAGGAGCAAAGAAAAGAATTATACTTTGCTTCTCCTCAGAAATCATGCAAGCAAGAAGAGAGTGAAGTGAAATCTTCAAAGTATTGAAAGAAGAAAACGCCAACCTAGAATTTTATGTCCTATGAAATTATCCATCAAAAGTGAAGGAGAACGAATTTCTCAGACAAACAAAAGTTGGCAAGATTTGTTGCCAATAGACTTGCCTTTCAAGAAAGGTAAAATGTTAAGAGGAGTCCTTTAGTGAGAAAGAACATAATATAGGTCAGAAACTTGGATCTATATAAAGAAAGGAAAAGCATTGGAGAAGAAACAAGTGAAGATAAAATAAAAATTTTTATTTTTCTTATTCTTAATTGATCTAACAGATAACAGTTTGTTCAAAATAATGACAGCAACAATGTATATGATTACATGTTTATACACATACACACACCAGGGCATTTCAAAAAGTTCATGGAAATATAGAATTAAAAGATAATACAAACCTTTCCATGAACTTTTTCAAGTACCCTCATGTGTGTGTGTGTGTGTGTGTGTGTGTGTGTGCTTATGAATAGGAAAATGAATAAAAGCAATGATATAAGGAGTGAAAGGAAGGAATTAGAGAGTAGTTATTATAGGAATATAATAAAGTGAAGAAAGTGTTATTTTAAAGTGCAATTGGGTTAGTTGTAAATGTATATTGTAAACTCTATGGCAACCACTAAAAAAAGTAAAAATAGAAGTATAACTAATATGCTAAGAAAGGATAGAAATGGAATCATATAAAATGCTTAATTAAAACCATAAAAGGCAAAAAAAGAATGGAAGACAAAAATAGGAACAAAGAACAGGATCAACAAAATGAAAACGGATACAACTACGGTAGATATTAACCCAACTATGTCAGTAATCACTTTAAACATTGATGGTCTAAATGCATCAATTAAAAGTTGGAGACTGTCAGAAGTGATTAAACAGCAAAACCCAACTATATGTTGTTTGAAAACTCACTTTAAATATAAGGACACATATAGTTTTTTTTTGACCGGTAAGGAGATCGCAACCCTTGGCTTGGTGTCTTCCACACCATGCTCAGCCAGTGAGTGCACCAGCCATCCCTATATGGGATCCAAACCCGCGGCCTCCACGCTAACAGCACCGCACTCACCCAAGTGAGCCGCGGGGCCAGCCCAGGACACATATAGTTTAAATGTAAAAGTATGTAGAAAGATATATCATGCTAATACTAATCAAAAGAAAGCAGGAGTATCTATATTAATTTTGGACAAAGTAGACTTCAAAGCAAGGAAAGTTATTAGGAATAAAAAGAGGCATTATATAATGACAAACAGGTCAATTCTCCAAGATGACATAATAATTTTAACATGTATGCACCAACAACAGAGCATCAAAATACATGTGGCAAAAACTGATAAAATCACAAAGAGAAATAGATGAATCCACTATTATAGTCAGAGATTTCAATACCCCTCAGTCATAAATGAACATATCCAGCAGGCAGAATATCAGCAAGGACATAACGAAGCTCAACACCATCAATAAACTAGGTATAATAGACATGTACAGACTACTTTGTCCAACAACAGGAGAAAACACATTCTTCTCAAGCTCATACAAAACTTGTACCAAAACAGTCCACATTCTGAGCCATAAACACACCTTAACAAATTTAAAACAATAGAAATCATACAATGTCTTCTCTCAGACCTCAGTAGAATTTAACTAGAAATCAATAACAAAAAGTAGCTAGAAAATTTCAAAATACTTGGAGATTATACTACACACTTCTAAATACTGCATGGGAGAAAGAAGAAATCTCAAAATAAGTTTTAAAATATTTTTAACTAAATGAAAATGAAATGCAATTTCTCAAAATTTGTGGGATGCAGCAAAAGTAGTGTTTAGAGGAAAATTTATAGCATTGAATGCATATATTAGAAGAGAAGAAAAACCTAAAATTAATTACATAAACTTTAGGGAACTAGAAAAAAGAGCTAATTATATCCAAAGTAAGCAGAAGAAAATAAATAATAAAAATTAGAGCAGAATTCAATGAAGTTGAAAACAGGAAATCAATAGAGAAAGTCAACAAAATCGAAACTGTTTTTTCTAAAAGATCATTAAAATTGATGAGTCACTAGCCAGACTAATTAAAACAAAAAGTAAAATGATTCAAGTTGCTATTGTATGATATTAAAGTAGGGGCTTCACTACAAATTCTATGGACATTCAAAAAATAGCAAGTGACTACTATGAACAACTCTATGCTCACAGGTTTGATTTCCTAGATGAGATAGACCGATTCCTTGAAAGACACAATCTGCCAAAACTCACACAAGAAGAAATAGGCAATTTGAATAGGCTTATACTTATTAAAGAAGTTGAATCAATAATTAAATACCTTCCAAAACGGAAAGCGCCAGGTCTAGATGGGTTCACTGGTGAATTTTGCCAAAGTTTAAGAAAGAAATTAAACAAATTCTCTACTATCTCTTTCAGAGACAGAAGCAGAGGGAATGTTTTCTGACTCATTCTACCAGGTTGACATTACCCTGATCCCCAAAATGGACAAAGACACTATAAGAAAAGAAAACTACAAAACAATAGCTCTTATGAGCATATTTAAAGAATAAAAATCATACAATGTCTGCTCTCAGACCACAACAAAAATAAAACTAGAAATCAATAACAAAACAGTAGCTGGAAAATTCCAAAATATTTGGATATTATACTACACACTTCCAAATAAAGCACAGGTGAAAAAAGAAATCTCAAAAGAAATTTTAAATATTTTGAATTAAGTGAACATGAAAATACAATTTATCAAAATTCATGGCATACAGCAAAAGTAGTGAAAAAATCTTCAGCAAAATATTAGCAGATCAAATCCAAGAATGTATAAAAAGAATTATACTCTATGACAATGTGGGATTTATCTCAGGAATGCAAGGCTGGTTCAACATTCAGAAATGAAATAATGTAATGCATAACAACCACAGACTAAAGAAGAAAAATTATATGATCATATTAATAAATGCAGAAAAAGCATTTGACAAAATCTAACACTCACTCGTGACTAAGGAAACGATTTCAGTAAGCTAATAACAGAAGGAATTTTTCTCAACTTGAAATAGAATATCTACCAAAAACCTACGGCTAGCAGAATACTTAACAGTCAGAAACCAAAGCTTTCCAACTAAGATCAGGAACAAGGTAAGAATGACCGCTCTCATCACTGCTTTTCAACTGGTGTCCAAAATGATACAATAAGATAAGAAAAAGAAACAAAAGGGATACAGATTGAGAAGAAATAAAGAAAACTGTCTTTGTTCACAGATGATATAATTGTCTATATAGAAAACTTGAAAGAATTGACAAACACCTGAAACTATTTACCTGAAGCAATTGTACATACCAGCCAGCCACCAAAAACAAACAACAAAAAAGCAATTGTAGCAAGGTTGCAAAATACAAGATCAATATAAAAAAGCCAATCACTTTCCTACATACCAGCAATGAGCAAGTGGGATTTGAAATAAAAGACACAACATCATTTACATTAGCATCCTGCAAAATGAAATACTTAGCTGAAAATCTAACAAAATATGTATGAGATTGATGTGAGGAAAACAATACTATGATGAAAGAAATTTAAAAACTAAGTAAATAGATATTCCATGTTCACAGATAGTAAGATTCAATATTGTTAAGATGTCAGTTTTTACCAACTTAATCTATAGATTCAATGCAATCCCAATAAAAGTCTCAGCAAATTATTCACAGATATCAACAAACTGACTTTAAAGTTCATACAGAGAGGCAAAGGACCCAAATAGCCAACACATTATTGAAGGAGAAGAACAAAGTTTGGAGGACTGATAATACCCGACTTTAAGACTTACGAAAAAGTCACAGTAATCAAGTCAGTATGGTATTGGCAAAAGAATAGACAAGTAAATAAATGGAACAGAATAGAGAGCCTAGAAATAGACTCACATAAACATAGTCAACTAATCTTTGACAAAAGAGAACAGGCAATAAA